AAACAAATTACCACAGGCATGCTTGATGGGATTTGTATCAATGTTCTGGTATCTCTAATGTCAGAAGGGTGTATTGGGATCCAATCTGATGTGCATAACCTAATTTTAGTGTGTTGTCTTTAATGAACATGTAGTAAATGTGAGATGGATTCATTCAGGTAACTTCGTATAACATTCGTCCTGCTTCCATCGAGAGGATGACAATCATAATGCATAGATAACCTGCTGCCCATTAAACTTATTGCTGCCTTATGCGGCAATAAGTTTAATATATACGACAAAGCAGTCAATTGCGGAAAAAGACCCTCTTTTCGTTTCACCTATCCTCTAAACGAATCGCGCACCTCATGTCCGTTCTCTACGGTACACGAATACCCACCGTGTAATCCACTATGACATCAGAGTATTATCATTGTGCTTAAACTGGCTCGAAGAACTCAGCCTGTCTGGTTGTAAGCGCAAGAGCTGCAACAACTCCCGCAGGTCCTATCACCCCCGCGATTATGGACTCAATTCAACAATGATTGCTCACAGCGCCGGGAAACAATTCGTACGCGCCTATGTTTGCGGGAAATCTGCTCGATCACAGGGCAAAGAAGCGCCCAAAAGTCGCTTCGGTGAAACTTTTGAGTCGCAAGGCATCCATTCCTAAAAACACCACCTGCATTTCAAACAGTAGCAGCAGTCGAGTAAACCGAAGCCGTCATTTATGAGGATTTTTGTTTTTATGGATTCTAGGAGAATAGCGATAAGGCAAAAAGTCAACCAATAGCTTTTGCGGCTCACACTAAACGACACTAGCCTCGGCTAGTATTGTCTGACCTCTTCGCCTAGTCATAAACCGTTTTCTAACGATTCTACCATATCCAAACTTTTGATTGAAACCTCGCATCTACGATTCGTCTCGAGATCTTCTGCGGTTAATAAACCACTTACGAATAAAAGGTAAGTTTTACAATAGATGTGGAGCGCACCTTTCATTTCGCGAGATTAAATTATAGTGTAAGAGATGAAGTCTCAACAAGCGCCAGAAGCCATTGACTTTGGTTTTAAATAAGGAGAATTTTACGAAGTAGATTGGCGGCTGTGGCTGCTGATCAGCGACATGATTCTCACAGGTGTCAAACATCTTGACCTTACGCAATTTTGCCCTCTGAGTACCTATTCTTGGTGTAGAGAGACAAATGGTGAAGACTCTAGGCAAGGCCGCCTGATGATGCACATGTTGAGTAGTAGCAAGCGCACTGTGGACTTTTTGGAGATCTGGGTCTGGTAGATTCTGGGGTTGAGGTTAATAGGACCCAGCTTTCTTACGAGCTTTACTCTCAATCGAAAGTAGACCCACAACCTGATTTTGCTGACCACTTTCAAAGCCGTCAGAAGTGCTGATAGCGGTGTGGGTGCACCGTGCAATTACGTACAGCGCGCAGCTTGTCAAAATATGTAGACAATTTGCATAGGCATTGAGATTATCAAAAAATAGCTTTATATCTAAGCATCTCACGACAGACTCTGGTCAAAATGTCAAAGATTCTATGAAACCTTCGATCAAAGTTTTAGCTTATGACAGTGTGCATTGCTGTTTGATCTTATCCCTGGTGCGAGATACGATCTCATCGTTGGTGTTTCCTGGCTGAAACATCATGATTTGTGGATGAAAATAAGCTGAAAGTGTTAGGTGCCATACACTTCTATCCCTAATGGAGCTTTTCGCAAGTCTTGAATTTACCCATTTCAAAGCTTTTAGATCGAACGCGAAGCTGCTGCAGCTTTGGTGCAGAGCGTGAAACTATCTGAAAATGAGGAGCAATGTTGCTCAGCCTCGAACAGAAGTTTGAAAGGCAGAGGTAACTCTTGATAATTACAATAAATATTACCAATTCTATGAGAGCCCATTTTTGTCATTTTGACCATTATTTTCTGATCGTGACGAGTAGTCAAGTATTCTGATTACATGCGGTAAGCCTGATCGGGCGGTGCAATGCCCTGCTACATCTTTTGCTGTGTACTTTCTATGCTGAGAATACCTCGTTGGACTAAGCGTCCTCACGTTCGTGTCTAATCTTGCGCGCAACCTTTAGCTTGGAGATTGTTGGTTTGACGCTCAATTTGAAGCCGAAGTGATATTTTCCTTCATCGTTTTTTTAAGGGCTTAGCGTCTAAAAGAAGCAGCCTAATTTGACCGACTCAGGGGAAGACATAGGTGCTTGAACATACTTCTGTTTCAGATTATCTCGGATGTCTCGCCATCGTATTAAATGGCGAGCGTTTCCAGGCAAGCGGTAAGCGCATTTGGGCCCTGGCCACCAGTTGCGTCGGGATGGCACAATTTAACTCAGAATTAGTATCGTTTTAGTGTCAGAAAATGCATCTACGTCAAGATATAGTTCCATTTTGCAGCAAATCATAACATTATATTCCACTTTGGAAAATAACATAAGCAGGCGATATGCTTCTAATGTGACCTTTCGAGTTCAATCTGCGGAAAGGCGATCATTGATACATTTTGTTACGAACATTAATACATTTGTGCAATTTTAGGTACATGTATTGTATTAATCCCCCCCCCCAACAAGTTACGCTAGATTTGCCGAAGACTTCATGCGTAAACGTCTTCAGCAAAATCGTAACGTTATAACTCCAAGCATCTACAGGAAGTAGGTGATTACAACGGCCGTCACAGCGGCAACACTGCCAGTAGTGACCGAAACGGCACCTGATGAACCCGATTCCGCAGCCGTTGGATCCATGGCGTTTGAAGACTCAGACTCAGGTGAATCAGGTGTCGAGCCCACCGTGGGTGCACCAGCCATCGAACCAGAACCGGGACCAGAACCAACATCGGTGGACTGGTCGGGATTTGTGGTACCGGCAGTGGACTCAGAAATCGTAGCAGCAGCAGTCTGATTAGAAGTAGCACCTGCCTCGGTTGAAGGAGCGCTTACATTAGTGGAGACTTCAGACGTTGAAGTGATCAGTGAAGTGTCCTGACCAGCAGCAACGGAGATGACAATTGCAGCAGCAAGGAAGCCGAAAAGTTTCATGATACTTGTTGAGGGTGATTAATTGGAGTTGTAAGCTGCTCGGCAATTGCTGGCAAAAGTGAAAATGACAAAACTATTTTGTATAAAGAAAGAGTTTCGTAATGATGACTTAGCTCTTTCGTCTCAACGCGATCATTGAAGTGCGAGATAAAACATATGAACGTCTTTTTTCAACGTCTCAGCAAATCGTGAAGTTGTCTGAACAACACGACGCTTTTACTTTGTGGTCATGCTACTGAAACGACCTCATTGCACGACATATTACAAATTTGATGCTTGTGTGCATTGAAGATTTATTGTCTTGCCGTATCATATACTGAAATACTTGAAATGCATAGGGAACAGTCGTCTGGATTTTCTTCGCCTTACGTTAACAAGTTTTTTATCTGTCCCACCTTTCGTGCATTTGAACGGTCAAAGATTATATGCTGGTGATCAGAAATTAATTACAAAAGAGAAGCCCATCTTGCCGTTGTCTGGATCATCATTTACATCGAATGATACCTCAAGAAGGCGCGTTTAATACAGTGGCACTTCATACTTAGTATACGAAGAGAACAGTCGTAGCTTTGCAAGGCCTGATAATGTTCTTGAGTCCTTTTTGTAAAGCCGCGCGCTAATAACTGTATAGAAATCACGCACGTGCGAGCATTGCAGGGTACAAGTACATGAAGGGTTGCTCGCGACATGTAAAGGTATAGTCAACTATCTCTTGGCGTAGCTAATATCACCAGTATGGTATTTATGGGTACATCGTTATCAAATTTGTCAAGTTGTAATATTTAGGTCGCAAATCATTGACAATATCACGTTTCAAGTATTCAAATAGTTTGAGACTGATTATTAAGCAGAATTATCGTAGAAAAAAGATTGTAATGTTGTCGGATACGGACGGTGCTCTCAAACCAACACAGCAAGTCCTGCAGTCAGCCCCGCAATGACCAACGCACCAGTTGTCGACATTGTAACGAATGCGCTCGAGTTTTCGACTGGAATTGGCGTGGACATGTCTGTGTCTCTTTTGGGCTTCTTGATTGCGGGAGGTGTGATATCGCCTCCGAAGCTAGCGCTAGTATCCGTCGCCGTAGAAGAGTTAGCATCCAACGGAGTTTGCGTGATCGCTGCTGCGACTACTGGTGAAGCTGCTCCATTAGGAATCGCAACCGGCGGTGGGGCATTTATGGCTGGCAAAGTCGTGGAAGTGACGTTGGTATTTCCGATCACGCTACCGTCTTGCGTTGCCGTGGTGTTCGGACCTTGAGCGGATGCAATAGCAATGGTGTACACAGAAAGAATAGTTGCTACGCCCAATATCATCATTTATGGCTGCTTTGAAGAATTGAAGAATTGAGGTAAGCTAAAGCAGGTAAGTGGAGATATGTGGGTAGCGTATCGTCACTACAATTTCACTGAAAGCCATTAAGTGACCTAGTCAAATTACGCACCGATACGTGGCCAATTCGCTGAAAAAATATCAGCAAACAAACTACCACTAGCTCGATTACCATCACTTTATAGCTCTAGCCGACACTTTACTTCTGATATAGGGTAGAAATCACATGATCGATAAATGAACAAAGTCTCATTACAAGAAGTCGAAGAACGCGTGGCTTCGAGTTGATTATGCAGTTGAAATTCAAATGCATGCAATAGCAAAAAGTCTACATGATACGTACTTTAGTTTCGAGTGTGACGTTTTCTAGCGATTGATGTGCGCACGAGGAAAGAAAACGAAAGCACAATTTAAATCATAGTTGTCACTGAAGAAAAATTCCTGCCTTCTCGTAAATTTTGTCACATTTCCATAAATTCTGGCAAATAATTATGTGTCATTCCTTATTTCTGGTGCACGCGGTTGCCGAATTTTTGAATTATTTGTCTGCGTTGATTAAATCTTAAGTAACCAACGCGATAAATGACGGCGTTGTACTATAATCTTGCGTATTAGTTCCAAACACATTTGATATAACTGCATCAAATACGACACAGTAGCACTTTGGTTTGATTGTGGATATTCATTCATAAGTACCGATCTGGGCCAGCCGCACGGCAAAAAAATAAAAATTAAGACAGGAATATTTTAGAAGATAGTAAAACGTTTACATTTAGTATTTGTCCGAATGTCATTAAATTAGCTTATCTAAATATATCAGTTCTTTTCCTGGTTGAAGCGCACGAAACCAATGTGTGTTGACGCAGACTTCGATAGTTAAAACTTCATCGATGCAGAGTGCTCAGCAAACTTGTTGCACTTCCACGACCGAGTCGTGAGAGGGTCGACTGATCTGCGATAAGTGAAATATGAATTGTTCGAGTACCCGTTCGGGACGAATAGACGAGCTTAACAAGCTTCGTACATCTTGGGTTCAAGTGTGATCAGTCAAAGGGTCAGACGGTTGTCCTCGCCTGAAGGCGATCACCAGGAAAAGATTGCACGTCCAGAGGTGCCCCAATCAGGCGACAGTAGAATAAACAGACGGCTTATACGTTGAAGCCGCTGATGTTGAGCGTCTAGGTCTTTTAGGACTACGAGGGACATATGCGTTCACTCGGGATGAGGATAAAAACAATAGCCTTGGATTCGGTGCTATTCAATCAAAGCCACAGTGCGACGCTCTTGCGATCTACAAGCTATGGTTGCGCGTGAAAATGGACACCAACGTAAAAAGGCGTTTAGTAACGGGACGATTTGGAGTGGCGAATAGAGCGGGTATATGCACGACTTTTCAGGCTGATTGGGCGGGACTGAAATCTTGTCTACCCATCATAGGAGGCGAGATCCGGCGAAGAGCGTCTGGAGGTTAAGAACTCTAGTCAACTCAAAGACGTCCAATACTCAATCAAAGGCGACAAGGATTAGCATCTTTAGCGAGGATCTCCATATGCGCGCGGCTTGCACTGAGACCTATTGCATCCATTCTACCTCTTTCAAGGAAGCGGTTGTCGCGTAATCAACTCGTGCCGCACGGGCAGAAAGCGTTACAGGGAGACGCTAGACCTTAGTCATGCCGAAGCGGAAGAGAGATATCTTTTAGCTGCTAAGCGGTGCCCAAAGATGTTTCATCTACGCTTTGCGTTTTCCATTTGCTCACGGATGAGAGGCACGAAGTATCGGGCTCCCGCGCAAGGATGGACGACAACCCCTCGCCTGAGATATTGAGTTCGATTAGGCGCAAAGCGGCCTACTGAGCGAGAATCGGATTATATCGCACCTTGTGGGGGTCGTGGTCAATGAAACCCAGCATTGAAAGATGTGGAGAAGTGAGGCTCTCTGTCCAAAGTTGTTGATTGTAGATGCGAATATTTTGGGCTTTATAAAGTCGTGGAAAGTCCTGATAGAATTAATTTAGGGTGTCGTGCGACTCCGTCAGATATGCCATTGTCAAAACAAATATGGATAGATTATTTGTGCGCTCTGCAAAATTGGCACTAGTGAAAATGCCAAATCCTTTTGAGCTTTACCACGTCCTGATTATGATTTGAGATACAATATTGCTCTAGGTATGTCTTGTTGGCTGGAACCTACGAAGCACGGGTCAATTGAAAGTCGATCAACTAGGTACCACACACTTCTATCCTGGTGTAACTTTGGCGAGTCGTGTCAGAGCTATGAGTCCAAAAAGCAAGATCCATTCAGTTTGGGCACGAAGCTGCGAAAGCTTTCATGCAGAGCATAAAACTTGCCCAAAATGTATTAGAACGGTACTGCTATGTATCTCAACCAGGGCCAGTGAGTCGCGATCTCACGATAAGACAGATAAGGACAGTTGTCCATCGCCGCCTTCCAATCGCATCCCTGTTAAGAACGCCCATATGTCGTAGTCGCCAGAGTTCATCCCCAGCGGGACGGCTGCAATCTGATATCTATGTTGGTGGTGTGGTAGCGACTGGGCGTCGCAGGCTTCCATGTTAGAGTCGGCAGGTCTGAAGGGCGACCATGAGATGCAAATAATAAACCAGGCGCTGAAGTTAAAAAGCATGCCGCACTTTATCACGATGTAACGGAACTACTCAGTTAGCCTACCAAATGACGCATCAATTACGAGTTCCGAGGGAGTAACGTTACATACTCGTCAATGGGGGTCCGGGATATTACTAAAAAATGTAACTCTTCTTTCCCCATCACAAGCAAAACGCATAAGCAAGAGCATATTTATGTAGAAAAAATGATTCTTAGCATTGCTCGCAGCGAGTTGCAAGACGATGAACTCACTGAATTAGTACAGATATCACGCTGAGCTTTTCATTTACCACGGATGACTCTGTAAATCAAAATCACAAGGTGTGAGGCGTGGAACGGTTATATTCAATTTTCTTGTGGTTTTATCCTTTGATGAAGGATTACTTGGGCATGATGATGAGCAAGTCATCAGATTTTTGCTCTCAAATCTGGAATCAAACACAGCATAGGACGGTAACATTCCTTGCAGCGGGGCTGCCGTAGCTTAGCGCTTGAGGAAGCGTAATTCAGGTCACCGACCTTTCGTTCTATACTTAGAACAAGTACGAGTTAGCGGATCGCAATCCGCTTACTCCAGTAATCATTGCCTTCCCAAGGCTAATTGCTCTTCGGTTTAAGATCCAAAACGGATTTTATTTTTAGCCTAATTTTAAGATTTTAGATTTTTTTAAATTTACTAAAATATACTAAAATCTAAATACATGCATAACTACTGGCTAATTAGCAACATACCGTATTCTTGTTTGGGTACAGTCACACCATGCACATTTCGTGTGACACACACCCCTGTTACCAAGGTACATGTACCTCCGTTACACCCTCCCCCATTAAGATTGAGAACATTTACAGTTCCAATCGATTATTGC